CTGTAAAATTTTCCTCTTAATTTGACATGTTTATTATTTTTTTCAATATTTGAAAATAATGAAAAAAAGCAATTTTTAATAACTTTTTCACATCGGAGTTTTCCTGATTTCCTTAATTGTTGTCAGTTTCTGTAAGAAATGTTGCTTGGAGAAACTAACGACACATTTAATGAAAATACAAATGTAAAAAGTAAATTTAACTGAATAAATGTTTTCGATGTCATGCTCTATAGTATCATGATAAAATTTCCAAATTTTATCTCATTTACCAAATTTTATCACAAATTATAAAGTCCTATTTCACTGCTAATTTTACTAAAATTATCAGCAAAGCTCTTCAGTAAGAATTAATGAGCTTTTTGGTGTTCCTATAGAGCCAAATAAGTCGGTAAATTTTACCATATTCTAGTAATTTTGACGTTTCTTTTTTCTCATTGTGTGCTAGTGTAAACGGGATATACATAAGCTTAACGGTAGCAAATAAAAATAAATATAATAAGAATAAAAAATATTATAAGAATAAAAAATATAATAAGCTTTAAAATAAATATAATAAATAATAGACTAAGTGCAAAGAAGAGGAAATTAATAGGTAATAACTGCTTTTATTTATTTATTTATTTATTTATTTATTGAAATGTCACTACGCTACAGTACTGTAATTGTTCCAGAATTTTTTTGCACATTTATTTAGTAATTCATAAGCTTAAAAATTAGTATTTGAATGATTTGTTAAAAACTTCAATTACTATATTTATAAACAAATTCAAGTATTCCATATCAAATGGAAAGGATTACTTATTGCAGTTTTTCTCTAACTTTGTAATTCAACATAAGGCAGATATCAAAATTTTAATATTATCCAGCTTAACTAGTATTTTTTACGGATACTTACTATACTTTTATTCGCTTATTTTCTGAGGCAAACAATACCTTTGTAGTTAAAAAGTTTTTTGAGTCTTTGTTCACTTATAAATACAAAAATTAATGTCCGAACACTCTCAAAAGTAAGACTCTCACTTTTGACAATTCAGCTATCCTTGAGCAATATTTCGTTAATTTTGAGCATCATTTCGTCATGAAACCACGTGATTTGTGACGAAACGTTAAATCTCAAATGTATGACGAAAATATTTTCTCAACTCGAAACCTCATCGCAGTGCATTGTGGGAGATTGTTCTATTTTGTCATTTCCTACTTTTGTGGGAGAATGTTAACTAGAATGAAAAAAAAAATTTGAATAACGGTCAGACAATAAAAAAAAATGGCGAACTAAGCCGTCCGAATGTATGGTGGTCAAGGACGTGGCCTTATAACAGGAAAACCCCAGGTTCGTGTCCCGTTTTGTGTATGGGTGTAATTTATCTCTCTGATCTATCTGTCCTTGTGTTGCTGGAGTGACGTGATTCACCTATATGGTGCCAGATATAGAGATTATAAGAAAGGTTATTACATCAAAATAAGTCACTTGAAGCTCGCGGGTCACATCTGTCAAATGGACCCTTTTTCCTAGACATTTATGATCTTCAATCACAAAAAAATGGGAACTAGAGTTAGATGTAGGGTTAAGATCAGATGGCTTGACTGTGTGGAAGAGGAATTCAAAATCCCAGGAGTTATTTACTGGAGAACAATAGCAAAGCAAAGAGCAGAACGGATGAAGGTTCTGGAGAAGGCTCTGGTTCACAAAGGACTGTCATGCCAATAGAAGAGGAAGTACATTAGGCTCTATAAGGAATTTTTTTGTTGAAAAAAAAATAGAATGACGAAATGTTTCTATAATTTTGACAAAATCCATTTCCTGGAAGAAGTGACTACAGTTATTTCGTCACTCTAGCAAAACTTTTGCTCGGAGCATATACCAAGAAACGATTTCATCAAAAAAGAAGAAATGTTCAGGATATTCGAGTAACCATTTCTTATCCTGAATTTTGCAGAAATATATTTTTCATGCTGCATTTTTAAAATATTTTCTTTATTTTCATAGAAAGTCAGACAAATGAGTTTAAAAAAATATAAGAAAGTTTAAATAACATGAATTTTTAAGACACATTTATAAAAAAATAGAACGCTTTATTTTACTATTCTAAAGTTTTATGAATAAGTTTCACGAAATTTGATTTCTAATCGACCCAAAGTTGCGTTAATTACTATCTCATTTCAATTTATGAGACAGTTAACTTTCCTATCTTATGCTTAAACATTTAGAACTCATTTTTAAGATAAAATCTTAGAGAAAATGCAGAAATTGAAATTTTATGAGGTACTAAATTCAACACTTCGTGAATTTTCTGGTCTTTTATGCTGTCATTAAAGTTGCTTTTACTGTTTGAAAAATAGCTTCAAAACTGGTTCGGCAACTTGCTCGTTTCAGTTTTAAATACAAAATACTGTACTTACATTACATCAGAAAAGAAACATAATGTTTTAATTAGTTTCCCTTAGATATTAAATTGATGTAAAATCTATTCAATTTTTATCTGCTGGGAAACTTTAATTCAGCATATATTTTGACATTTAATATTTATTCTTAAATTTAATAAACTTATTTCCTACTCTAAGAAGTGTATCAGCTTCATATACTTTCCAATTTTTAGTTGAATAATCATCTTTTTAAGGCTCTGTAACACTTAATTCAATTCTTTCAACGAAATTAACAGTTTAAAATCAGTATTTTTAACAATTTTCAAGCAAGATAATAATCATACTTTCTCTTTCCACCTAATTTCAACACCTTTATTATTTTATATTTAGATATTTGATATTCTTTGACGAGTTCACTGGAAATATTCTTTTAACGAGATATTGTTTGAGTTTCATATAGTTTTCAATTTTTAGTTTAAAAGTAAGTTTTTTTCTAAGGTATTGCCATACCCAGTATTAAAACTATCTATTTAACACTTCATTCAATTCTTTATATAAAATTAACGCTTCAAAATCCGTATGTTTAACATTTTTTTTAAGCAGAATAATAATTATACTTGTTTTTTCAACTGAGTTTTAACACCTTTATCTTCTTAATTTTAGATATTTGATAATTTTTATTGAGATCACATCATGTTAAACATTCTGAAATAAGTATTTCGTGTTGGCTTTATATTTTGAATGCTGAAAACTTTATTTATTTTCTTAGAAAGACTTATAAATTTTTATTATTATTTATCTAAATAATAATACAGTCGTAATGAATTTTTGAAAATTTTATTTTTATGATAAATGTGATATTTTATTTCTATTATCTACATAATACAAATTAAATAAATAGGACCCATTTAAAGATACATATTTATAAAGCTAAAATAATGTATCTTATTTATCGCAAATTTTGCCTCCTAGACATTGTATACAATACAAATAAATAAAACGATACAAATAAATAACATACATAACAATATTGCACAAAAAGTACATTATTATTATTAGAATTTATGAAGTTTAAGATTTTAGATGCAAATTTAAAGCGGAACGTGTGGAACTAAAAATATTTTCTTATAGAATTGTAAGCGATTTAACTTTAAAAAAAACTTGATTAAAAAAGCGTTGAAAAAGAAATGAAATGAAATAATTCTTACAAGTAATAATTATCTCCTACGTATATAAGACAAATCTTCAATTCATTCAAAATGTTCAATTATTATTTACATTATTGAGCATCATCTGTTTCATAAAAAAACTTTTAATTTTAAATTTTTTTTAGTGTTATATGAAAAAAAAATAACTCTGTTAAATAATAATATTATTCCAGTTATCTATTGCAAACATTGTATCAAGGCAAATACAGTAATATTACAAATTATTTCAATTACAAATTATTAAAACTCCGGAAACTTACCTCTAAAACTCATTATTACGATTCAATTGCAATTACATCTAAAAATGCTTAAAGTTTTTGAAAAAAAAATTGAAAAAGTTGGTTTTGTCGAAATAAAATTGCTATTCTCCTATAATTACAAGAGATTAAAAAGAAGTATCAGATATGAAAGGCTCTTTTTAATAAATCAATATAACTCAATAATTATCTTCTGCATATTGAAGATAGATCTTCCATTAAATAAAATAAAAATCTATTCTATTTTAGTCATTTAGTGTTAGAGGAAAAAAATAATACTCCATTATTTTACTACACAGTTGCACTAGGAAAAAAAGTACTGTCAAAATTCACAGAATATGGTAAAATTTGTAAAATTTACCATGTTTCTGTCTATGGGAACACCAAAAAGGTTCGGTAGCTTTCATCGAATATCTTTGGTTATTATTTTGGTGAAATTAGCAATAAAATATGGTTTTATAATACGTGAAAATGCTTGGTAAATGTGGTAAAGATCGCTAATTTTATCCTTATACCTTAGAGCATGACAAAGAAGCCATTTATTTGGTAAAATTGACAGTTTTGTACTTGTTACTAAATTTTGAAAACAAGAATTTCCGGTAAACCGTTACCATACCAACGAAAAATGGCTCATATAAAGTATATTTTCGTTTTATTACCAGAATTATGTTGATTCTTTTCACCAGAAATGTCATTACCATACAATACGGTAATTTTACCAGAATTGTTTTCTCCACGTGAAATAATTATGTTATTCTGATCATCTAATAGCAAGTTTTGTATTAGAACAAATACAAAAAAATTACAAATTATTGAAACACTAAAAATATTGAACCCCAAAACGCATTAAAATAAATGCAATGCAAAGATAAATTATTAAAAATTTTAAAATCAAATCAAAAGAAAGTAGCATTGTTGCACTGAAATGGTTTTTAATTTCTAATCGCAGGAGACTATTAAAAAATGGACTGATTAAAAAAAGCTGTTTGAATAAATGAACAGAATCAAATACTGATTAAAAAAGCTGATTGAATAAATGAACAGAATTAAATAATATTCCTGCGTATTTAAGATAGATCCACTCATTAAAAACTCGATTTTTGATTAATTTATTAAGCGCTATCTTTTACCGTTTTTTTTTTGAAAAAAAATAATAATCATTTTTAATCCTTTACTGTTCGATGATAAAAATAAAAAAAAAATTGAAAAAAAAAATCACTTTTTGTCCCCCCTTCCTGAACAATCAAAGAGTTGGTCGAAGCAGTGAGGCATAAAAGAATAAGAATCACGGTTACAGTTTGAAGGTAATCCTTTCCAAAGAAGAAAACTCTTATGAATAAATGAAGGCCCTTTTAGAATAAAGGGACCGACACCTCCGATAGCTGGAGGAGGAAAAAAATGAAAATATATTCCTAAAAAAATGGATAAATAGCATTACTGCGAACAAATAAAAAGATGTGTAAATTGACAAAACGTCTCTTTCCCGTCAACATGAAAACTGGATCAATAAAACTAGATATTCATCTGTTTCTATAGACCGAGCGCAGGTTAAACATTTACTATGAAAGGAACAAACAGTTTGAGCAGGAGGCCTCCTTTAAATACAAATTTTCTCTTACTGCCCTCATATACTTGAGAACTAAAACTCGGAGCGGTACCATATTTCTAGCTCTGGATTCTGGATAAGAACGCTTTTTGGAATAAACCACTGTGAGTATTTTGCATTTTGTCTTAAAATTTGGCACGATGCCGTCTGCATGTTGCCTTTTCATTCAAATTTTATGAAGCTTGGCATTGCTCGAAAGCCATTTCGAATGTAAATAAGAGAGTGCTGAGTTGATTTTCGAATCCAGATGGTTGAGGGATAGATAGAGATTCTGGAAGATTGGTCTTAGGGAGTAATGGACAAGTCTTGTTGTGATCTGCTAGATGCACTTAAGTTAAATTACAAATGTTTTAGAATACAATTAACTAGAATGTTGCGTCTGGTAGGTGCTTTAAGCTCCAAAATGCAAACTGGATCAAGAATTTCCTGCAAACATATGATTACTAAATTCGCTTTTACTTTATTGCAAAACACATGTGAAATCGTAAGGGAAAAGCTCTTTGTTTACTGATGGATCACAGTTGAATGAGATCTAAAGGATTAGGTTAAAGCTTACTTCTCCCTTGTTCTTAATATATATTTAAACATAAACATGAGCACGTAGTATTTTGTAAGCAAATTTCGATACATTTAGTTTCTTTTTTAAAAAATGAAAATGTACTAGGTTTTATATAAATATATGTTAAAGGGGAACAACATTGCAAATTTCCAATGAATTTAAAAAAAAATTTAAAAATATAATATGAAAAATGATATAATATAAAAATATATTTTTATTTATTTTTTATTTGTTCATTTATTTGAAGGAAAAAAAAACAGAATAACGAAATATTTCGTTACTATTGAAGAAATTCGTTTCCTCGAAAAAGTGACGATAGTCATTCCGTCACTTTTATGAAATGTTCACTCTGAGCATATGCCAGGAAACAGTTTCGTCAAAAAAGAAGAAGATTTCGGAAAACTTGAGTATCTATTTTTTGCAGTGCATTAATTAATAAATTTTTTATATTTTTTCAGAAATGCTGTATTTTAAAATATTTGCTTTTTCTTAGAAATTCAGACAAATGAGTTTAAAAAAGTTTCGAAAGTTTAATTAACATGTAGTTTCAAGCTACCTTATAAGAAAGTAGAACATGTATTTTACTGTTTCAAAGTTTCATGAATAAGTTTTAGAAAATTTTATTTCTAACCGACACAAAGCTGTGTTAATTACTATCTCGTTTCTAACTATGATACAGCAAAATTTTCTAGTACTACCCTCATATATTTGAGAGCTGAAATATGGAGCGGTACTATATTTTCAGCTCTGGATTCCGGATAAGAGAGCTTTTTGGAATAAACGACAGGGAGTACTTTGCATTTTGTCTTAAAATTTGGCAAAACGCCATCTGCATGTTGCCTTTCATTCAAATTTTATGAAGCTTGGCATAGCTCGAAAGTCATTTCCAATGTAAATAGGAGAGTGCTGAGTTGATTTTCGAATCCAGATGATTAGTGAATAGATTGAGACTGTGGAAGGTTGGTCTTAGGAAGTAATGGACAAGTCTTTGTGCTGTGTTGTGATTTGCTAGATGCACTTAAGTAAAATTACAAATGTTTTAGAATACAATTAACTAGAATGTTGCTTCCGACAGGTGGTTTAGGCTCTGAAATGCAAATTGGATCAAGAAAATCCAGCAAACATATGATTGTTAAACTCGCTTCTACCTTATTGCACAAAGCATGTTAAGTCATAAAGGAAAAGCTCTTAAGGTATCACAGTTGAAAGAGATCTAAAAGATTAGGTTTAAGATTACTAGCCTATCCCTAACTTATATTCAAACATAATTGTAAGCACGCACTATTGTATGCAAATTTAGATGCATCTAGTTTTTTTTTTTTAATGAGAAAAAAATATTGTATAAAAATAGTATAATATCAAAATATTTATTATTGATATTATTATTATTTAGAAAAAAATTAGAATGACGAAATACTTCTTTACTGTTGACGTAATTTGTTTCCTCGAAAATGTGACTATAGTTATTTCGTCACTTTGATGAAATGTTCACTCGGAACATATACCAGGAAACGGTTTCGTCAAAAATGAAGACAGTTGCGTGAAATTTGAGTATCCATTTCTTACAGTGAATTAATTAATAAAATTGTCCTATTTTTTGCAGAAATATTTTTGATGCTGCATTTCAAGATATTTGCTTTTTTCTTAGAAATTCAAACAGATGTGTTAGAAAAAATTAAGAAAGGTTAAATGAAATGTAGTTTTTAGGCACCTTTATGAAAAAGTAGAATGTGTATTTTACTGTTTCAAAGTTTTACGAATGAGTTTTACGAAATTTGATTTCCAATCGTCCCAAAGTTGTGTCAATTACTATATCGTTTCTAATGATGAGCAATTTTTCGCTTGCTGCTCTCATAAACTTGAGAACAAAAACTTGGAGCGGTACTATATTTCTAGCTCTGGATTGCGGATAAGAACACTTTTTGGAATAAATTTTGCAATTTGACTTAAAATATGGCACGATACTGACTGCATGAAATATATTAGGTACCTTTTGATTGTATGTTAAGTAATAATTCTAGAAAATAAAATAGGCTAAGTAACACAGCTAAGAACGAAGCTATCTGTATCTTTCTTCCTTTATTAAGGATTCATTGTTGAATGAGATCTAAAAGAATAGTAAGATTTCTACTATTATCCTTAACATATGTACAGATATTAATTTTAGCACAAAGTATTTTCTAGGCAAATATTGAGGTATCTAGTTTTTTTTTTTTTTTTAAAGAAATGAAATACTAAGAACTATTTAGATGCATGTTATGTAATAATTGCAATAAATAAAATATGTTAAGTAACGCATGTTAAGTCCTGAGAAAGAAGCTGTTTGTGTGTTGCTCCATTTATATTTTATTATATATTTTATAACCGTCATTGAACACCGACCCAATTTTTTGTGTTTATGAATACTAATGCTCAGTTCCGCTGCCTTGTAATTTTGAAACCAATCCAGAAGACAAGGAAACTCCAGGATCAAGCATTAGGAGAAATTTGCCTTCGCGGAGGACTTTTTGATAGAACTAACCCGCATTTGCGTTACATGGAGAGGGAAATCACGATAACCTCCCATGGTTAGCCCGATGGCAATTGGACTCTAACCTATGATACATCCACTACTGAGGATATTTTACATCAGCACTGTGGTCTGTGCAAGACGGATGCGGAATTCGTATCGACCAGTCATCGCTTGGATTCGAACCCGGTTCACCTTATTGGAATTCGAACGCTCTATCCCCTGAGCCATCACGGGTCTTTGCTCCCCTTATAAAATAATCACTGTTAATTGAGATCTAAAAGATTAAGTGTAAGCTTACTACTCCTAGCCTTAACATATTTTCAGACAAAAACATAAGAGCATAATATTTTGATTGCAAAAATTGATACATCAAGTTTATTTTAAAAATAAAAAAAAGGTTACGTATTACTTAAAGACATGTTAAGTAAAAATTCTAGAAAATAAAATATGTTCAGTAACACTTGTTAAGTTCTAAGAAAGAAGCTGTATGTATCTTGCTCTTTTTATAAAGGATTCATTAGTGAATGGGATCTAAAAGATCCTACCTTTAATCGTACCGCTTTTACACGTACAGTTTAGTGAAAGCATATTTATATTTTCAAAAGCTGAAATTTCAGATGTTTAAAGTAAATTAAAATATTTTGACAGGAGAGAAATTACTGTTATCAGAAATTTCAAATCTTAAAGAATGTTTGTTTACAACTCAGTAAAGCTTACACAGTTTTCGAAGAAATAAATCACAGTTTTCACCATAATTATGTTCATAGAAATCAATGAACACAAAAATCATACAATAACATGCTATTGCAAAGAAAGAGTCGTAAATATTTATGCGGAAAATAACATTGAAATCTCAGGCGTATGAAATATGGGGAAAATTTGACCCTCTAAATTAAATTTTACTTTTTGCGTATTTCGCCATATCTCGAGGCCATTTTAGGCGAATTGAAATATTTTTGCACACAATTATAAAATTCGTTTATTCAAAACTAATTCCATGCAAAAAATGAATTTCAGTAAATATTTGCTATTTTTTATTATTTTATTTAACAACGGTCATAAAACTTTTGAGTTGTAAGGTATATTAATTTTTATATAATTTTGAAGTATCTAATTTTACATGGCAAAATACAAAATTTAAGCGAAATCGGTTAGTTAGTTCCTGAGAAATCAAATATAATATAATTCTCTTAAAATTCGATTTCTCAGGAACTATTCAACCAATTTCAGTTATATTTTGTATTTCGCCTTGCTAAATTATATATTTTGAAATTAAGTTTAAAAAAAGTATACCTTACAATTAAAAAAAATTTTTCCACATATAAAATAATAATTTTTTTAAAATATTTACTAAGAAATTTTTTTTGCATGGTTTTATCTTTGGATAAACGAATTTTATAACTGTGTGCAAAGATTTCTCAATTCGCTCAGAAGTTTCTCGTTATATGGCAAAATACGCATTAAATAAATTTAACATTAGTGAGTCCAAACTTTGGATAACTTTTCTAATCAAGCTAAGGGACCATACTTTCCAGATTGTGGCTATTTGAAGAGAAGGGGGGGGGGCGTCGAAATTCCAAATCCGTTGAAAAAAAGGTATGTTCATTCAGAGAAAGTGTGTCGTTAGGTTTGAATTCGTAGCTTAAAATCTCGTCTGCACCAATTAGTTAGCATATTTACTTTCACTCCCTCAAACCATTAAGATAGAGTCCTAGAATGTGAAAATCCGATCGTAAGATCAAAAGTTACTCAGGGGGGACTGTTTTTTATTTTGCACACTGAACAAAAACGTCGAAGTCTCTTAAAGCTTTCATTTAATTTCCACTTCGTAGAAATATTTGCCCTTCTGGAACCACAATAAAATCCTTCTATTTACGTTTTTAATCGGTATTATTTACATTGCGAATACGTTTATACTTGTTTGAATAACCTTCAATGAAGAAAAGATCGTACTGCCATCTATTTATTAGACAGAACACTATAATAGGAAATTTTACTTTTAAGCGATCTTTTCTATCGTCATCTTGGATTTT